TCAGAAAGTTAACTGGGGGCAAGATAAGGATACCATCTGGCCCTTTTTTTTCACGCAGGAATCTTGAAATTTTCTGCGGTCTCTTGAGGAGTCTCATGTAAAATTTACGGCTAGGCATGTTCCCCTTGCTCTAGATGCTTTCCTTATTATTATTCAATAGGTTTGCTTGCAGATGAAATAGTTAGAAATACTCGACAGGAATTAGTTTTATTTATTTATTTATTTTTTTTGGTTTTCTCCCTTTTTTGGAGTTCATTGCTGTTATTCTTATTGCAGTTATAAGCCTAGTGAGGAGACATTACTGCAGATAGATCGATTTTGTGTGAATACGATTGCTGAGTGTGATATCAGCCCAAAGCGAAAACTGTCACCTTGGTCACGGTCTTTAAAGCAACAATCTGGTGGATCAACAACATCATCATCATCATCAACAACAATGTCGTCTACAACTGCTTCTCCTTTACCAGTGGCTAGTTTTGCTTCTGGGGCATTGGTGAAGTCATTGAATTATGTTCGTTCTCTTGTAGCTCAACACATTCCAAAACGGTCATTCCAGCCCGCAGCTTTTGCTGGAGCTAGTCTTGCATCAAGGCAGGCACTACCATCATTGTCATCATTGCTGAGTAGATCCTTCAATTCCCAATTAAGTCCTGCTAATGCTGGAGAGTCTTCAGAGATTAAGGATGCCGCAACTTTATCAGTTTCAAATTTATCAAATATTGAAGAAGCTGATGCAATAGAATCTATTGAGTATATAGCACCTGATGTTCTGAAATGGCGCTGGATTGGGGAACAGAAACCATCATCTATTTTTTCTGAAAGGTAACTGATGTCTGTTAACCTTGATTTATAGAAAACACATGCAGGCATACATGTAGATACTAAATTCGTCATTAAGCTTTCAGAGGTAGTTTATGTTTTTGCTTGTTTCATTTATGCATAACTCATGTATACTCTGACATGTTCTTGGTATCACAGTGATCGTGCAGCAAGTCTTCAAGACATGAACACTCATAACTTCCTAGAAGTAGGTGCAGCTGCTCTTCTTGTGGGAGACATGGAAGCAAAAATGAAGGGTCAGCCTTGGAAATATTTTGGAACTGCTGATATGCCTTATCTTGATCAACTGTTACAGCCTTCTTCAGTTGCAACCATTACAAATTCAGCCTCTGCCCGTCCCCATTTGAGAGCAATAACATCATCTAAACGCACTAAATTGGGATCTCATCAAATTTGGCATGTTTTTCAAACTCAGACTATCTGTTTGATTTTGTTTCATCTTTGTGTTCTTTACTCCAATTATGTATTTTTTTCTTTGATATCTTTTACAGCAATAACATCAACAGGCACCATGAATGCCACCCATAAACATGGGTTATGAAAACAACCCATATACAGGGGTTCCAAAATATTAAAACTAAAAGGTCCATAAGATTCTCAAAATCCTTTCTGTCATTAATAGAGTGCCCAGAAAAAAACCATTCACAGTTTGGATGAAATAATAGCAAGTATTCTAGAAAATTCTTCTGGTTTTTTGTCTCCAAACAATCAAAAGATTGACACGGGAACGAGGTACTCTCAAGGATCAGTACCCTCAAATCTTTGCTATTGCTCAGAAAAAAAATGCAAAGAGCTGTGATTCCTTTTTGGAAGTGGAGATGGGCGAGAAGGTTTAGCAGGTTTTGTTATGAGAAATTTAAATGATGGGAGATTGGTGAATTTGAGAGACTGTTAAACACTATTTCCCTTGTGAACCTGGACGAAAGCAATGATAGTCCCC